TTTAATAACAATCTTCCAACCCCAACTAGCATTCTACCTCTAATTAACAAAATTAATCAACAACAAAATCTTAATATTGATGATATTCCTTCTAACAACAATGAAATTTCAACATGGCTTAACAATACACAAACACATTGGAAAAGTTTACATAAAGCTCGAAAAACAGAAAACTCTATACATATCTGTTAACAAATTAATGCAGCAACTGAAAAAAGATGCTCAGCTTTTCAAACACAGCTAACAAAAATGATTAATAGTATTTTGAATAGGCATACTGATAAAGTCTCTTTTCAAAACTTTAAAACAGATACAGATCTGATTACTAACCCTAATATTATTAAAGAAAAAATCAAAGACCACTTTGACCAATGAACTGAATACAAACCTATTAATCAACAAATCTTTGATTTGACCTGGAAAGAGTGCTACAAACCTACTTCTTCAATTAACCCTTCTCACTACAACAATGTCCTTAATACTATTACAATAGAAGAAATTATCCAAACTCTTTCAAACCTTCCTAACAATAAAGCATGTAGTCCATCAGGCATTAGCTATGAAATGCTCAAACATACGAGTAATCTGTTCTTGCAAATGATTACAATTCTGCTTAATAGATGCTTAACTTCTCAAACAATTCCCAAACAATGGAAAGAATATCATATCTTTTCAATCTCAAAAAAACCAATATTCAATGGCAACTTGCATAATACCAGGCTAATTAGCCTCATCAAATATATAAAAAAGCTCTATACAAAAATTCTTACAAACTAGCTTAATACCTCTTTAATATCTAAACAAATTCTATCACTACTTAACTATGTTGCTCTCCTAGGAAATAGCACTGCTACTCCAATTCATATTCTCAACAATATTATTGAAGATTCTTATTGCAACAACAAGGAGCTTTGGCTACTATCAAAGAATATGAGCAAAGCATATAACTCAGTTAATATAAACTTACTTCAAAAAGCACTTGCAAGAATTCAACTTCTACCTTAACTTATTCAAATCATACTTGACCTACTCTCAAACTATTCTAGCAATTTATAACTAAACTAACAAAAAGATATAATAATACAAAGTAGACATATCAAAGAAAAAATAATTTAGCAAAGAGTTCAAAGTATAATTAGAAAAGGCTATAACAGAAGATCAAAAAGCAAAAAAAAATAAATTGCCTTTTAATAAAAGATAGTAAAAGTTTTATCATACAAATTAAATGTCTAATAAATAGCTTACTAATATTTAATGAACTTAAAAAATAAAAACTATCTTTATACAAAAGTGACTATTGCATCCTGTGTAGAAAGAAATCTCAGAAGATCTCAAATACTTAATTAAATACTTAGTGCTATAAGATTATTAGAAAGAAATTGAAAATGTAGTACTAAAAAGCATTAGCAAGCTCTTTTCTAAGGAAATTAATATTTTTGATCTGTTATCAAAAATCAGAACAACTATTTTCTCAAAAGATAAAAAAAGTTAATTTTAAAGAAAAAAAGAGCTAATAATTAAACTCAAAGAAAAAAAAATACCTAAAGATATTAGAATACTAGCTCAGAAAAAAAAAATTATAAAAATTTAGATAGATAGTATTTTTTTTATTGTCTAAAAAAGCTTTGCAGAAATTATATAGAATTGGTGATACAAAAAGGTAATCCTATAAGAAAAAAGTGAAGAAATTACAACTAAGCTAAAAAGAAGTGAAGTGAAGAAAAAAAATCCAAGAGTAAGAATCCAAACAGATGAGGAAAAAAAGGTATTATTTGTAGAAAAGAAAAAGAAAAGAAAAAAGAAAAAGAAGTGAATAATAGTAGTAATAAAAGAAGTTATTAAAAAAGAAATTAAAAAAAGAGAAAAAAGTTAGTAGAGTTTTCTTTGATATAGTTAGAAAATTGTTCTAGCTTTTAGACTAGTATAACAGGTTGTATTTAAATACTCTAGTAGTAGCTAAGTAATGTCAAACTTAGGAAGTTAAGTAGATTATAAAATCATGTAACTTGGCTAAAACTATAGTTAACAACTTAATAAAGTTTATAATATAAACTGTTAAAAGAAAAAAAAAAAACTTAAAAATTAATCTGTTTTGATTATATATTTTCATAATTTTAGTAAGTTATTTTAATAAAAAGAATTAATATATTATATAAAAAATTACATGAAATCTAAATAAAAAAATTATATAAAGTATAAAAATATTTTTATAATATACTCTTTTAAATTTTGTATGTAAAACTAGATTTCAAGCTTTAAAGTTTATAATTTATCAAATTAAATATATTAGATTTTAGTAATAATAAATAAACCTGTAAATCTAAAGTTTAGTTTTCAAGTATTATAAGTTTATATAGCATTATGATATTGTAGCTTTATAATATTATAATATACAGAATTATAACAAGATCTTAGTTCAAATGCTATAATTATAAAAATTAATTTATTAGTAACTATAAGCTAAAATTAAATAGGTAACTATCAAAAAGTTTTTGCTAGTTAATATTTTTATTATACTTCTGCTTAGCTTGTTTTTTTTTTTTTTTTTTTTTTTTTTTTTACTTTATACAATATGCTATCAGTAAGATTTTTATTGGTATAGATAGTTTTGAGTAATGATTACATATATAAGAGAACAACTAGCTACATGTATAACTTTAGATTATCTAATTTAAGTAGTCTACTTGAAGGTTTTACACTAGCTGCTATATCTAAAATTTATTTGAAAGTTCTTTATTTAAACTCTCTGGCTAGGTCTGATGATCTTAATGTAGTGGTTAGGTTGCCAGACCACCATACAAGAGGTTTAGAGTTCAAATCCCACTGTCGACAAAATTAAATAATTATCTAGATATCTGTATCCAACTTACAGTAAACTCTGTTTGTTTCTAGAGTTGTAACCCTGTAAATCATATTGTACTAATACCAATTGGGGTATTAGAAGTATGACAAGGCATTCGTATTGATCAAGTCTTAATTTGTATTTTAATATACAGTACATAGTGGTACTCTATATGACTGAATCCACTTTATAGAGACTTTATCTGTTATATAAAGTAGAATTTATTATAGCTTATTCTAAGCCTCTGTTAGATATGAATTGTTGTTAATTTCTATTAAATCGAGTATCGAGTGCCACAATGTATTTGTAAATTATAAGAAAGTCTAATTAACTAAATTAAAATTTTGAATTATTTTTAGTTAGTAATCCTCTTGACTTTGAGATCCTCTAATATTTTAAATTTTTTGCATTCAGAAAATGTGGCATGCCACAGCGATTAGAGAAGTCAATTATTTATTTTAGCGCAATTAAAATTTCGTGAATTTGTATTACATCGGATTCAGGGTGATGATTTCCTCTTTACATTGTACTATAGTTCTGATCTAATTAGCTAGAAGATCATGTAGCGGTAGACCCAAACTGGTACACGTTTTAAGGGGGCAATGCAAGCATACAAATATAGAAATCCCTAATCATGACAATGATCATTCAATCAGATACAAAAGAGACACAACACTTAACTCTTTCGTAAACCATACACTTCGTATTTTATACTCCATTCCTGGTATATGCAAAATCTAATAAGGCAAGATGATACTAATATTGAAATGATGTTTGAAAATTTTCAAAATAACATGCAAGATTTTATCAATAATCGACTTAACCAACAAAGAGAGATTGTACAAAGACTTTTCGAAAGATTGAACCAGAATCAACAAAGAAACTCAAGAAGAATTACTGTAAATCATAGAAGAACAGTAGGAATTCAAAGACCAAGAATAGGAAGATCATTTATTTATCCAAGACAACAAAGATTAATAGGACAAATAGAAAATGAAGATAATTTTACGAATTCTAATATTATAAATAATTTTATGAATGAATTTAGAAATAATCAAAATACAGAAAGACAAATAATAAGATATAGTACTATAACAAATATTCCAAATACAGTAAATGATTTTATAGAAGAATTAGGAATACATTCTAATGTAGATAATACTTATTTAGGAGAAGCTCGAATAGAACCTAGAAGTGGAAATGGATCTTTATTAACATTTCAAACAAAAACTTCTTTAAATAAAAGAAAAACACGAGAAAATAATAATAGTGATAGTGATTCTGATTATTATACTAATAAAATATGAAAAAATACAGAAAGTATAGAAGAAAATAAATCTATCAAATCAAATTCTTTACAAACCAATTATATTTCAGATGTAACATATATATTAGATACATCTGATGAAGATGATTTATTCATATCAGAAGAAGAAATTGAAAGAACAAAAAAAAGAGAAAATAAATTCTTATCACCTGAAGAATTTGCAGAAGAAAATGAAAGAAGAATACAGGAAAGAGAATAACTTCGAATAACAAATATTCTATCAATTAATTCTTACACAGTAATATAAGATAAAATCACTGTAACAATAGATACACCAATTAATACAGATGATTTACAACCAGTACCTCAAATAGTACCATTAACATCATCTAAACCAGGAAGTTTAATAAATATATTCGGATTTAGTAGATCATCAACATCTATGAATATAGATCTACAAGAAGAATCATCTACTACATCAGATATATTTAATAAAATATTTGGATTTCTTAATCCAAAATAAATCATGTATAAAAAATATTTTATTAATGATAAAATATATAAAAATATATATAAAAGATAATACTAATTATAAATATAAATTATATAATAAAATTAAATTAAATAAAACAATATCTATCTTATATTTCTCTTTTTTTTATTCCCATTTTGAGGTTGTTTATTTGTATCATATTCTCTATTTTTACGACTAATTACTGGTTTAAAATGAGAAAATAATCATCTACATTTTCTACTTTATCAAGTTCTATCTTAGCATCAAACATGATATTTTTATCTTTCATGATATTAACTAATTCCCTAACAAAGAAAGAATATGCAATCTCTTCTCTTGGTTTTGTTAATCCATCAATTTTACCAATTATATCATTATTCTTGTCAAAATTAGCTTTTTCCTAACGATAAAGCATATATTTAATCATATATCTAAATCATTTATTTTCTTTAATAATAAGATTAATAACTTTCCTTCAAATTCAAGTCTCTTAGAAAGAGAATTTAACATTCTAAACAAAACTTCAAACCCATCACCAATATCAAAGGTCAACTGAAAAATCTGAGATCCATCTTGTCTCCTAGCTACAATATACGATGTTTTATTACCTTTTCAAAATTGTTGTAGTAATACAACATATATATTAATCTTTTCAAACTTCCCTCTTTTCTCATCAATTTCTCTATTAAATTCTTGAATAATTACAGAATCATTTAAAGCTTTATTGTTACTAATATAACCTTTTTGAGTAAGGAGATTTTCTTTATCAAATTCATCAGAAGTAACTCCAGTTTCTAAAATTAGAAAACATGTATTATCTTTATGATTGTTGGAAGACATTATTTTTTTTCTTGTATTTACGCCAAAATATAAAATAATGTTGTTTAAATAAATGATTAATTATTAATTAATTTTTGATATATTAATAATATAAAATCATTTTTTAAAAATAATTTACAAAATTCGAAAATGGAAAATGATCAAGAACCACCCAAAAAACAGTTTGTGATTTAATTATTATTAATTATAATTAAAATTAATAATATTAATTTTCAATATGAAACAAATAGTACGTATAATTCATCATTATCATTTTTTTCTTAAATATTCTAATTAAATATCAATTAAAGGTAAAACTGCAATTACCAAAAAACCGAATATTAAAGAAATTAAAAATGATGATACTATTAGAAATATTAAAGATATCAAAATATCTTTAGATTATTTAATGAGTAAAAATAAAGAACAAATTGCTAAATTACAATCATTATTAAATGATTCAACTAAAAAAATTGAAGAATACATAGAAGAAATTGGTAATCTAAAAGAAAAAAATATAATCCTGACTAATAAAAATAAATCTCTAAGAGAAAAAAAAAGAGAAAATGATGATAAAATCATATTGGATTTACAAATACAAGTTGCAGATTTAGAAAAACAAATTGCTGATTTAAACATATTTCATACTATCAGAAATAATGTGATAGAATAGAAAATGAAAAAAATAGTAGATAACATCTATAGCATGGTTTATGATCATATTAATAATATTAACAAAAGTGTTATTAATTATACAAAAAATATTGAAACTTCTAATGATATCAAGGAATATTTTGAATCAATTTTCAATACAAATACTAGTTTATTAGAAAATTTAAATTTAAATTTAGACAGTAATGTTGAAATGTAAATAAATAATTTTATTATATTATTAATTAAAATATTATATCTATTAAATATTATATATAATATTAATTTTCATTCAAATGGATCATCATCTTCTTCATTTTTTTTCTTTCTTTTAAAATAATCAGTAATCTTGGGAATTGAATCATCTGCCTTTCTTTTTAAATTCTCATTTTCTTTAATTTTTTTTCTAGAATTAATATCCAATATATCAATTTCTTTTTTTCTTTTTCTTACTTTCTTATCTAATAAATCTAATCCTTTATCAAGTCTCTTATTTGTATATCTATTACTCATGTCTTCGAGCTATTTCTTTGCTTCCTTTTCAGGAACTCTTATTAAAACTGCTAATATTTATGCAATACTTTTTAAATAATAAAACTTATCTATCCTATCGCCTTTTTCTGAATCAAATAAATGTAATAATTTCATACATTTATATACTCTATCAATACTATATATATATAATTTAAGACATTTAAAACATGGTTTATCAACTTCGATACCTAATATATCCATATATGTGACAAAATTCTTGACCATAGATTTGGACTTATTATCTTCTTGTTTTAATATTGTTTCTTTAGAATTTTCATTCTTATCATCAAAAAATACAAAATCTTAATCTAACTTTTCCCAATCTATCTGATTCTTTCTTCTCTTATCAAAGTTAATTCTTATTAAAGTCTTTTTATTAACTTTATCAAACTTGATCATCTTTCCTTTTTTGTAATTCCATTTTTATCTTTAATAATTTCATGTTGAATTTCGTAAAGAACAATCTTTCCATCTATCAATTCCCAATAACCATTTTTATAACTTTTATACTCAACTAATTCAATAAATATCATCTCATTATCTTCATCACTGTTATTTCTAAGATTTTGTTCAAATAATTCTAAATTCTTTTCGGATTCTTTACTATTTAAATATTTAATAAAATCGTTAACTTTTAAAAAATGATATAAAATTAGTATTTTATTTAATAATGAATATTATAAATTTATAAAGAATTACTTGTTTTTTACTTATGTATTCACTCTAATTATGTTCATCATTCAATCTATTGAAAAAATCCTGATATTGTTTTATATTTACAAAATTTAAACTTTGTAAATATTCTGCATATTTTTTATAATCAAATATTGCATAAAACATTTTCTTCAATATTACACGTGAAATAAGAGTAGAATTTTTCCTAACTAAATCAATACCTTTCACTAACATATTATTGAATTTTTTATCATATGCTAATAATATATGTTCATCAACTTTTTCAATATTTTCATCTATTATTCCTTGTATTATTTCCTTTACACCTAATATCTCTTTAACATGTTTCTCTAAATCTTTCCAGGTATCATCATAATAATATTTTGGCTTTTCAAACATTAATCTAATATATTTCTTTTTCACAAAATATATAGGATCAATAATAACTTTTTCTAATTCCATGACAATTTTTGGTGACCCAATCTCATTAGCTATCTATTCATTTATCTCATTTTGTAATTTTATACCTTCATTAAATGTTAATATAACTATCTCTTCTTGAATATTATATATTACTTTTTGATATTCATCTAATGATAAATTAATATTTAATAATCTATTTTCATATTTTCTAATAATCTCATTAACTATAAAAGATGAAAATTGAAAAAAGATCGAATCAGTATCACTATAATTCAAAATAAATTTTTTCACTTTTACTTCAGACAATTTATCATATTTTTTTTTTTTTTTTTTTTTTTAAAGGTGAGGTTTTGCTCTTATCTTTATTGATAAACTTGTTAAAGAAACCACATGAGGTTGCTTGGAGTTACAAATTTAGATACAAGAATAAAGCTCAGACTATAGAAAGAAGAACTAACTAATTTATCTGCAATCTAAACCTACTAGAATAGTTAAAACTTACCTAGATTTGAATGTTTAGAATATAGTTAGTAGAGGTACTGTATTTAATCCACATAGAGGACCAAATGTTAATTTTGCGAAGAGCAAGTCTTTTTGGAGGGCAAAAATTAGAGTTTATATGTTGTTAGTTAGGGAGACTACAAATGCAATTAAATGTAAGTTGTATTCGAGAGTGTAGTAGTAAGTTTCGAGAGATAGAAGAGGAAGTTTGAAAAGTTGAATATTGAGAGATATTGTGTGTATTTTTCCAATTGGATAGGTTTAGGCAGTATGGTTTCCAGGCCTGCTCGTATAGATTGTAGAATAGCTTAAGTAGTAGTTTAATAGTTATATCTGATACTATTTTGTATGAATTAGTGTATAGATTTATAGTATTGATTATAGCTTTAGGGACAAAGCCTTGTAGTGTAGAGAAGATATTAGCTTGGTTGGAAGGAGTATTAGATGAGAATTATAAGCAGGTATATTGGAGAAGTTGTTGTTGGAGTTGATTTATTTCGTAGAGTTGTAAGTCTAATAGAGAAGAGGTAATAACCTGTTCGATAGTTTGTAGTAAGATATGAGAAGCAGGTATAGCATTAGGGCAAGTAATCCAGTGGAAACTGTGTTCATGAGAGTTGCATGAGATGCAGTTATTAGTTGAATATAAGTGGAGGTATAGGTTGTAAAGATTGAAGATAGAAGGGAGTGAGTTTAGGAGGTTTTTTATTCGGAATGACTTTGCTTGACAAGTTTGAAAGTCTGTATAGTTGTAGGTTCGTTTGTGATTATTATTGAGGAAGAGCTATGTAGCATTCCAGTCAATTTGATAAGATATTGGTATGATATGACTCATGTAGTTTTGGGATGACCACATAGCAATAATGTGAGCTTACAGATATTTTTAATAGAGCAGCAAGTTGATTGTTCAATATTGAGATTGTTATATTGGAGGAAGTATGATGGATTGTATAGATTGTCCTGTTTGAATTCCAAATGTTGAGAGATGTATTGTTTTTAGCAAGGGAGTCAGCGAGGTTATTAAAAATATCATCTTGGTGTGCAGAGACTTTGTGAATCATGATATTGAAAGAGAAGGATTTGATTAAATTGAGTAGAGTATGCCAAATAGGCCAGTAGTTATAAGAGTATATCTTGTTAGG